ATATTTATATTTATATTTATATTTATATTTATATTTATATTTATATTTATATTTATATTTATATTTATATTTATATTTATATTTATATTTATATTTATATTTATATTTATATTTATATTTATATTTATATTTATATTTATATTTATATTTATATTTATATTTATATTTATATTTATATTTATATTTATATTTATATTTAGTCAAGAGTTACATACTTGCATGTAGTAAACCAATTATAGTTAAACATTAATTTTGGAATTATATATTAAAAAATGAAAATAATAGACTTAAGATATCACACAACTAATATTCTATTTGCACTCCATACTCTATTTTCACCAGTTTTGGCTCCCTCCATTATCAATTTTTCTCCCCAAAATTATGGTATTCACTACTTTTTAGTATTTTGAACAAATTGACTCAACAACAAAATTATACATAGTTTACTGAAACATACATAATTTACGTAAATTACATAATTAAAATACTAATCAAAATAGCATTTAAAATACCTGATTAGTTAAAAATAACACACTATTTCTAGATTCATACCTTCCTCTTGTTAGCCGATTCTTAACCCGCTTAACAACTATACGCCTTTAACTGTTATTATATCTTCTTCATCTGCAAATCAATTAAAAACACAATATAATTAGTTAAAAAACAGAATATAATTTAAAAATTTAACATGTATCTTAACACTATATAGCAGAAAACTGTAAATAGATTAGCAAAACCAGCATTTAAAAATAATTTACATAAAACCATAAATTATGGATATAAGGATAATATATCCAGTAACTGTAACAACTTACATTGATAATTAACTAATATATTTTTTTTTTTTATGAACAATTGATCTTCACGTTAAGAAAGAAGATGACATAGTCTTTCTTTGGTCCTGTAATAAACTGTAATAAACCAAAACTTCTCACTGAAAAACTCAAAAACATTAAAAGTTTTCATTATTAACCGAAAGAAAAATATCAAATGTTCACGTTTGTTGTTCTTTTGTCTTCTTAAAAATAAGCCATTGAAATAGAAAAACAGATTCATAAATACTCAAATCTTCTTTTGTTTGTTAAAGAAAGAGAAAGTAATCATTATCTACCTTAAAATCCTTTTATATAACAGAGTGCTATATACTTATTATTACCTCAACTGTTGTCAGGATTAAGCTGGCCTTTGAATTCTGAAGTAGGGGAGTGCTGAGGAAACTCACTTAACATCATCAATATGAATCATGCAAAAAAGAAAGTATCAAGTTGAGAAAAGAAACTGAATCTGAATAAACAATTGTTATAAACTTGTATTAGTTTTCTGTTGCTACGTAACTATATGAATAAAAGAGAGAAAGAACAAACAGAGAGCAATTAGCACTACAAGAAAATTGTTAATTTGAGACTACTATTTGTGACCACTTTTTTAGTGGCAAATACTTGTGACAAATAAGTAACTATACTGTAACTCTTTTACGACTACACTAATATTAAAGGCAAATTAGTTGTAAATTTGCTACCACAATATATAGTTATCAAATAGTCGCAAATTAGCGACATAATTAAGACGTTTGGCCTACTTTATATTATCAGTCTCAAAATAGTCACAAACTGTGACAAATTTAAAACTTTACTTTCAGTGGTATATTTAGTGGCATAGGTAGTCCCAAATCTAAAACTAATTTGATACCTATTATGGACCCCTATCAAGTTTTTCTCAAAGATTCAACAGTATTTATATATAAATGCATTTAGTTATGATGTTTTACACATGTATGAACTAATATTACAATTCACAACTACAAATCCCAAAAAAATTATTTTAATTTCAAGTTTTTACATTTGTGATGGCATAAAACCTAGAATGTGTTATGTGTTTGTTTGCTTTTGTGTAATGATATTGAATGTTTTTGTAAATTCTTTTAATATGTTATATTTTTTTTTTACTCTTTAAAATGAAGAAAGTAATTAATAATTAGAATATCAGTCATTATAAATTCATAGTTTGAACTAATTAACATTATAGGGTTTAAGAATTAGGGTTTAATTGTGACTTCTAAAATAGTATCTCAAATTGGTTACATTTTGTGACTATTTTGTAACTGTTTTTCAATTTATCAACAATACATATAATCTTTTATGTCTTAATTTAATTTCATTCTCCATGTCTAAATATATCATAATAAAAACAAAGTATTTTAATAACATAATATAGTTGAATGGTTATATTATTTAAAAAATTTTGAGAATACAACTGCTAAAAATGAACACTTACCCCTCTTTTCTTTTCAAACTCCAAATCATAAATCAAAATTTCAAATCTAATACTTTTTAAACTTATACCTTAAATCTCATGTTCCAAACCCTAAAGCATAAAATATTATAACCATCGACTACATTTATAAACCACTTCTTAAAATTATTACTTATATAATTTACAAATGAATTAGTTTAATCAATAATTGGTTGAGTTCACTTAAAACAAATAATGGGAAAAAAGAGAAACAAGGAAATTTGCTATTGGTTAATATCCCATTGACAAGGATAACGTTATGAGCCCTTGATATCCTTTAATCGGATGGACTAGATTATTAGTGTTTCTTTCCTTCTCTCTCTTCTACCGACAGAATTTTTTCTTCTCTCATCTTTCTTTACTCTTTGGTCTTCCTCACACTCTCTACGTCTCTGTTCCCTGTTCTTGTTCAATCCTATCTCTTTTTTTTTTTCATTTATGTTGTCTTCTTTCCTTTCTCTTCATCTTTTATGCCATTTCTAATGAAGTTTATTGTTTTTATTTTCACAAATCTGGAGTGACGAACCGGATCGGAAGTGCGCCATAGGTAAAAGATGAGACAATGGAGACACGTCACAGGTACTGACGAACCGTAGGTGCTGGTGTAGGCGTCACGAGAGCGGTGCTGGCGAAAGAGGAGGCGTGAAGAGAAAAGATAGTGGTTAAGGACAAAGCGGTTTAGAGGTATATCGAGGCCGAGCGGTGCTGACGGAGCTGTGGTGGTGGAGCGGTGCCGTCTGTCCTGCCACTAACAGGCATAAATGGCGAAGCAATGTTGAGGACATCGGAGGAGGTGGCAGAGAACGACAGAGGAATTTTTAGGTTTAGATTTGAAAACCAGTTTGATTTGTAATTTGATTTTGGTGTATATACCAGATTTAATTTAATAAACGAAATATTCTTTGTAAACCAGTTTCAGTAACTATAAACTGTACTAAGATATTTTAAATTTATATTTTCAGCTCAATATTTTTTATATTATTTCAGTTATTAATTAATTTCTTTTTCTAATATTGTAACAAAGAAGTCACCAAGTAGAGATTCACTAATTATGTATCGAAACAGTCATTAATATATGACTATGTCTAGGCGTCATAATGTGGTTGCACATGTGCGACTTTTTTGCGACCAATATAATTTGCGACCAAATATTTGTGACCGTTTCTTTTAGTTATAATATAGTGGCTAATACTGTATTAGTGACTATCTTGTGACTCTTTTAGCGGTAGCGAACAATCAGTTTTCTTGTAGTGTAGGTTGACTGAAAAATTATAAAAGATGAAACAGTTATATTGATGACATGATTTGGGAGTTATATAAATTGCATGATTTTTCATTGAACGTGGTGGTAGTAAATTGAACGTGGTGGTAGTAAGCGGAAAGAATTGAACGTGGTGGTAGTAACCAAGTTTCAAAAGTTATTACCATGAGAGTAAATGATCCTTCACATCAACAACGATGAGAAGACAAACCAGAATGATAAGGAGTCAACGAAAGGAGGATAAACTTGGAGGGCACCGAAGAAGGCATTATTTATTATCTTACTAGGTGATTTTCCCGTGCTCATGCACGGGTATAAATATTTATAAAATAAATATACTATAAAATTTGATTGCTATTTACTTTAATTGTAAGTTAATTTATAATTTATATGCATAATTTATATTAGTAATATTATAGTACTTTAGCAGATGATTTTAGTTATGTTATATCTAATTGGTTTTCTTATTTTTACAGTCGATTTAGTTATCATATGAATTTATTGGATTGTATCTATTTTTCTAAATTCAACTACAATTTTTTTATTCTAAATATATTAAATTTTGATTAATTTTCTTATTTGTATTTAGGTTAGTTGTTGTGTTAGATACATAAATATATTTTAGGTTAGTTGTTGGTGTTAGATACGTAAATATAAACTAAAGTGACTCATTCTAAATTACATAAATTATTCTGAAGTCTCATGCATGTATATAAATTTTACAAAATAACTGATTGCAACAGTTGGTTAATATTTTATTTTCATTTGTTAATATGTTTTGAGTCATCCTATAATTTATATTTATAAAATAAATTATTATTATTATTATAAAACTATATATTCTTATTGTAGTTAAATTTATGATTTTAGATATAAGTTGAATTAGGTGATTTTACCGTTTTCATACACAAATATAAAATCAACAACATAAATAAATCATACTAATTGATTACAAATTTGTTTTATAATTTATATGTAGATCTTGTATAAATAATATCATGTTGTTTTAATCTGACATATGATTTAAGATATACAGTATCTAACCGATTTAATTATTATTTGGATATATTATATTGCATTTGTTTTTGGTTGATATTACTATAATATTCTTATATATAAAAATATAATTATAAATACATCTATTTTTATTTCAACTAAACCAAATAAGATCAGTTTTATTTAATGTGGAAATTTCGTTCTTTATCTAGGATGTGTAAATATATTTTCATTTTTTGTATATGACAACATAAAAGAACATGACCGATATAATTTATAAACGATAAATTAAAAACTATCTTAATAATTTTAAACATAAGAATTCAGATTAGTTTGGGAACTCAGATTATAAAAGAGACACTGGTTGTTAAAAATATAATTTAAAACTTAAAATCAACTAAAGATTAAGAAAAAAGAAGTAAAGTAAATATATATAGTTCGCTAAAAATATATTGTCTTATAATATTTAAAATATTTCTGTAATTATTTAATTAAATTATTTCATTAAGATAGAATTATAAAAAAAAGTAGTTACATTTTCTAATAATGCTATCTTGCTTAAGATTATTTTTAAAGTATGTTGTTTAGTATTTTAAATAAATACCAAATTATTGTAGATATTATTTATATAAGAAAAATATTAATTTACTTTTACTTTTTAAAAATAAATAATCAAACATTTTTTATATTTAATTTTTGAAATCATTTATATAATAATATATAAGTATACTTTAGATAAGTTGAGATATTTTTAATTTATGTAGTCTAATAAAAAATACAAAGAAATTTTCAATCAAATTTATGTTAAAAAATTATTATGCAAAACATATGTAAAACACTTAGTAATATTAGTTTTAAAATACTTTTAGCTCATAAAGAAACTTCAATTTATGTTATGTTATCTAAGTTAGTTTTGATCATCTGAAAATATAGCTTGATGTAAAAAAAAAATTATTATTAATTTAAAAACATATATTATGTTATTTAAGATTATGTATTAAAAGGAATATATTTCTAATATTAAGATGTTTATTGTGAATTTTCCTTTTTTATGAAATCAAATTATATATGTGATATGTTTTCGTTTTAAAAAATTACTTTTTTCCTTTAATAAAACTTTTATTGTTAAGTTTCCTTTTTTTATGAAATCAACTTATTTATTATACATATTTCGTTGATTAACATTGCAAATAATATTAGGGTTTCGTTGAATAACATTGCAAATAATATTAAGCTTCCATAGTTCATTAAGAGAAGTCAGTTTCCTTTTTTTTCTTCTTCAGTTGATTTCGAACCCTAAGCTAAAAAGGGGAAAGAGGGTCTTTTCTCGGGAAACAAAACAGATATTTTCTTCTCATCGCAGTGAGCATTATTTATTATCTTATGCTCTTCGAAACCCTAAAACCCTAAAACCTATAACCACCCACTCCTTCGGATTGTTCTTCAAGTTTCCATAGAGAGAGAGCATGAGGAGTCTCTGCTATAATCTTCTTACTCGACTGAAATCTAAGGGGGTTAAGAGGTGATGTGTTTTTTTTTTTTTAAGTCTCTTTTGATTTACGTGTGTGATTGCAGTTTAAACTTTTATGTATGTGCTGTGGTTTTGAACAATAGTTCCTATATTTTATTAGGAAAAGTACATCTGATCGTCAGGAATACTTGCGTTTTATCAAGATCGAAACCAAAGTAAGTTTAGCACAGATCGATGTTTGTTTCTTGTTCGGTTAAGAAATAAATTTTCTTTTTTGACATATATATATATCTTTGTTGTTTGTTTCCCTGTGCAGAGGGTTGCCCATGATGCTCCAGATTCTTCTTCATTGACCAGGGAATATTTTCACCTTCCTTTCGAAATGGAGGAGTTCGAAATGGAGGAGGTAACAATAAGTCACTCTCTTTTTCCATCTGGATCATAGCTATAGCACGTAGTATCCTAACCAATATATATATTTTTTTTTTTGTTGCAGTTATGTGATGGAAAAACGCTTGATCAATTGTTTGCCCGTGTAGGCCCATACACCATGCTGGCTTGGAATGATCACTGGTCTGATGAAGAAAAATTCGCAGATCCTTTTTTCCAAACTGCTGTTAATAAGTATGGGCATTCAGGTTGGTCTCCACTAGGATCCTACTTCGTCACATCTCACGACCACCATGTTCTTATTTGGGGCTCCACAGATTATCTGAATAACTTTGGCGGCCTCATGTGCTTTAATCATCACAAGGTATTTGTTTTAAAATATTTCATTCCTGCTTTTTTTTATCAATAAAAATAATAAATAAGTTTTTAACTCTCTCTCTCTCTCAGGTACAACAGTTTGATGTATCTCCAGGGGAGAAATATTTGGTAACCTACAACAAACCAAAGCCAAGTGACCCAAATGTGAGCATCTTTTTTGCTTCTTTTCTTTCTTTCCTTGATGCAAAAGTGTTCCAACTTGTGCTGCCTATTAATCTGCAGGGACTCTGGCTAAAGATTTTTGATGTGAAAAGTGGGAAAGGAATAGTTGGAGTAAATCATGGTGGTGTTGACTCCCCCCAATGGCCTGTGATTAGGTATTTAATCCTTACCTGCATTTCAATTTTTTTTTTATTATTATACTCTTGTCGCTCATTGATGTGGTAAACTTTTTTGCCAATGCAGATGGGCTGGTGGTAAAGATGATCAATTCTTTGCCACGCTCAACAAAAACAACACTATAGCTGTCTACGAGACCGAGACTTTCAGTCCGTTGGGCGGTAACTCCCTAGACCTTGATGATGATGTTGTGGATATCGCTTGGTCTCCTACCGAGTCCGTACTTGCTGTTCTGTTGAAAGTGCGTGGTCAGCAGCGTGCCAAGATTCTTCTTTTGCAAATCCCTGACAAGGTGAAGCTGGTAGAGAGGTATCTTCCCTCGGGTATTGTTGTTAAAGACTGCAAGATGTACTGGCAGAACAATGGGGACTATCTCGCTGTCAGTATGGACTCGGGATTTAAGTTTTTCAGCATCAGAGATGAAGGCGTACCCACTGATTTTCTCAAGTTAGACAAAAAGATCTTGGTGGCTTTTGCTTGGGAGCCTAGCGGTCACAGATTTGCCTTGATTCACAAAGGAGACAAAGCCACAGGTCTATCTGTCAGTTTCTACTCCATGGAGTCACGTGGAAAGGTCACAGAGCTATTCACTTTGCACAACAAGCCAGCCAATGCCCTCTTTTGGTCGCCAAGAGGCAATCTTATAATTCTGGCTGGATTGAAAGCTTGCTTTGGTGGCAAGCTCGAGTTTGTCGACGTAGAGCTCAAGCAAACTACTAGTGTGCAGCAACACTTGAAGGCGAATCATGTTGTGTGGGATCCTAGTGGGAGATTCGTTGCAACTGCCTTTACCATACCACAGGAGAAGTTTGATGCAAATTACTCGTGTGAAGAGGATGACCCTCTTGAGAGGTTTTATGTGTGGTCCTCCAATGGTGATTGTCTTTACTTTTATCAGTGTGACTATCCTTTGATACAGGTAAATGTGCAATTATCATGATGTAATACATTGACTGGTGGCTTGCTCATAAGTTTATTTGTCTCTGATTTGTTGGTGCAGATGGAATGGCGCCCCTACGGAGGAGGAATCATCGATGATGATTTACTGGAGAAAAGGAAGAAGTACCTTTCCACTACTAGTCTTTAGACTTTGTGTTTTATTTGTCAACTAACTCTGCAATGTTGTTTTTGGCTCTCGATCACTTTTATCTATTTCTTGAAAATGTATCGACAATGAATGGCATTGAAACAAAACAAAATCATTTTCAAGTTAAAAAGGTTCAAGTTTTTTTTTTTGATAAATTTTTCTTTAGAAAGGTTATCATTTCATTTTTTTATATCATTGGTTCAGTTTTTATTTTATATTGAAAATTCTGTTTTTGTACGTTCTTGAGTCTGTTTTTGTTCTTTCTTTTTTTGTACACTTGCTTAAGCTTTTGTGTTTGTTGTATATGCTTATGATAGTATCTTATTATACAGATTTGTATATTTCTTGCTTATTTTACAGTTTCTCTTCATGTTCGGAGGTAGTATAAAGCTATGTTTATGAACCAGTGACAGCAAGAGCAAATCAAAGCTATAACACAGCACTTGTAACCTAATAGCTTATGATAATAATAATAATATAATAAAGTTGCAGGCGATTTGGCTTCCATCACTATGCTATATTAACTTCCTCCGCATTGCCGCTGAGTTGTTCCTCTGCACTGACCTTTGAGTAAGTTTTGTTGGTAAGCTTTGAAGAAGAGGCAGATAAAGACAGAACTTGAAAAATGCAATACGCTGGTTTGAGAAGAGGAAGCAGATATTATGAGCTATTTAAAAACAGTAGGCGCTATAACGATCAAGCATTAACACTTACGGAATAATGGGAAGTAAAACGTGTCGCTGGCAGGATTGTTTCAAGTTAATACTTAGGGTCAAAATTTTGGGTTGCTAACTGCTCTTTTGCCCCAGAGGGTTGTGCAAAAGAACCACCAAACGGGTAAATAACTCCTGCATTAATACTATGTGTTGATGAGCATTTGCAGTTTTGATATCTAACCACCATACACATCACAACTTTAGATGTGACATATGGCATAACAACAAATTCACCTCGGGGATAGGAATATCAGCACGAGCTTTAACCTCCGAACACAACGCAACATCATTGAGATGGGAAATAAACTCTAAATGAATACGTATGTTATACTGACAGAAGGATAAAGAAATACACCTCGGAAGCAAGCAGATGTTTCAAACACACAAAGAGCACCAAAAGTCAAAATGGTATGCCTGCAACACAGAGATAAATAACAGGCAAATGATTTATTTATACACAACACTTCCAAAATAAAGGCTACAAAAATTGAAGAGGCCTGAAACATTGTATGTTGCATCAACAACATAGAATGGAAGCGATGATCAGGGGCTACTTACCTTTTGGTCCCATTGAACTACCTGAGTGCCTTTTTGTTTTCACTATTCATACAGATCACAGGAACAAGTGTTGACAGAACAATTCTAAGGTCCTGAAAGGAAACAAAACTTGGCTGAAACAAAACATAATAATGGTTTCCTATCCTTCTTCTTCTTCCAAGCATAAACCATCATCTTACAACTCTATTTGTCTCTCAATGGCAAAACAAAGTTCTTACACAAATGTTATATATAAACAGGGATGGAGCCAGTGATTACCTCAAGAAAGCTGGCGAGGTTCATGGAACTGTTATAATTGATTTATTAGTAGGTGAAGGTGCAGCCACCGGAAAGGCGTAAGGGGTGTGATCTTAGCTATGACTATGTCAAGATCAATGCTGAGTATACCTCCTGAGACAAAAGAGGCAACAATTTCATTGTACTATTATTGTGTTATGATCTCAAATTCTTTTTTTGTGATCCAAGTGTTATGATCTCAATTTATAAACTCATTGTGCTTCAAATAAAGACAGTATCACGTCAGTTAAATAACAATGTAACATTGGGTTTCTCACATGCAATAAATTTAAACAAAAGCTTTACACATAGTGTTTAGGATCAACCATTACTCATAAGAAAAGCTGTTTTCAAACACAACCGAAAACACACACTGATTTGATTGTTTATTAGACAAAGAGGGATCCAAGTTCACAGATGTGATGAAAATGTGCTTGGTTATTTAGAAAGCGATGCTATTCACGAAGATGCTGCAACTATAGGCATCTGAGTTACCCAATCAAACTTGTCTCGACTGTGTTTGCGAGAAACTTGCTTCTTGTCCTTGCCACTACGAGAGGAAGAGCTGTCTTTGTTCTTCTGTCCCTTCTTTCCAGTCTTCCTGTGGCTGTCTTTGCTCTTGGATTTCTGCGGCTGCAGCTTCTTGTGTCTTGTGTGCGAGGCTATGGAGGGAGGAGGATCATACACGTCATCCGCCCATGAAACACTAGACTTCCTCAGTGACAAGCCATGCTTTTTCCGGCTCCCTTTTATTGCAGGGATGAGAACAACTGGTGTCTGTTAACAATTAAACAAACAGGTGAGAAAGAGAGCCAACCAGGTAAGACTGAATACACAGCCAATTGTAGAAAATCTTAAATAAAATGTTTTCTCCATGCGTGGACAATATATGCAGACAGACTTTGGTAGACATGGTTTCGTTTTTACTCAGGAACATACACGAAACTGCTAACTAGTGAACCACAACTAACTACACAGTATAATCTTTTAGGCTTCAAGAGATGATACACAACTTGTAACACGGTAATAGAACAAGATGAAAACCAGCTCATACAGATGACAAACAGAATAAAACTCAAGACCAGAGATGAAATATATTATACTGAACCAGTAATATTTAGTTAAACAAAGGCTGACTTACAGTCATAAGGTTCTCATCATCTGAAGACTTGAGAGGTAAAGATTCTAAAGCAGATTTGCCAAAACCCTTCTCAGCATATTCTTCATCCCCAGTTTGGGCTATATAACCAGTTTCATCTCCATCAGACTCCTGAGATCCATCAGATCCAGCATGCCAGCCATTAACGCATTGCGTGAGATTCGAACCCGAGATCTCAAAGTCAGCATCTTTACAACAAACAGAGCTCATATCCAACTATTGTATATATTAACTGCCCACGAAACAAGTAAACGACATTCACATCACAAAAACAGGAAACAGAGATTCACATAGACGGAAAAAAAGTTCATACCTTTTGTGACTTGCAAATCGAGCAACGCCAAAAAAGTGAGAAACTTTTTTCTTGTGGAAGGTAAAAACGAGAGAAGAAAAGGTAAAAGCAGATCGAAAACGTTAACTAAGATTACCACGCCAACGATGGGAAGATAAACCAGAATAATAAGAAGTTAACGAAGGAATCAAAAGGAGGAGAAGCTTTGAGGGCACCGAAGGCATTATTATCTTATGCTCTTCGAAACCCTAGACCCGATCGGAAAAAAGCCCTAATTCTCTAATTTCGATTCCACAAACTCAGAAACTTCGATGCGGGGAGAAAGATAAAGATGATTCTCCGAACAGTAAGATTTGATACAAAACGATACGCGAAAACCTAAGATCGGATCATGGAAACCAGAAAAGAAAAGAATAAAATCAGAGGAGGAAGATGAAGCTAATTTGAGAAGACGACAACGACGACGAAGAAGAAATGATGTGGCGGCCTACTTTAGATGAAATCGAGACTGTACACGTGTCGCTCTATTAATACTGTCCTTTATGGGCCGTGATATTTTCATTTTGGGTCTTTAAGGCATGTTATATTATTAATGGGCCTAGACGAGTTACTCTTAGCCCATTAGAGCGTACCCAAGATAAAATAATAACAAGGCTCATAAAGAAAAGTCCGCATGATAATACCAGCTATATGAAACTAAACTGATTACAGATTCAAATCTCAACCACAAGTCTATTCTTTTTAGCTAGATCTCTCTGCTGTAATAACTATTCAAAGTATATTCTAATTTTTATAACAAAATATCTATACACGTTTTGTAAACTGGTGACATAAAAAGGTATATTATACAATCAACAGATCAAAGGGACTAGTTAAGCAAAAAAAACACAATTAAGTGGGACTGTCACTGATATCCATAATGAATGTGATATATTTCTTTTGTTTGAAAAGGCTTTCAAATGAATGTGAGTATTTTGGAGGGCATTTCAGTTTCCAAGTGAAAGCCAGTAAAGGTTTAATATCCGGCCCATAAGCAATCACGTGCTATTCACAGCTAATTGATTGATATAACCTCATTATTATTCATCACCTGAACTATTATGATCTTGTCTGATTTGCAGCTTGCTGACATGTTTGCATGTGTTTATTTTCTACGTGTATTTGCGGCATGAGAATATTGACTCGTAATTCCCCAAAAATTTTTCGAAGATTGGTGAAAGCATGGAACTATTGACCATTACATCAAATTTTACACCAAATAGCACCGTACCAATTTTCAACTCTGTTAATATATGATAATATAACATTCTTCTTTTTATATATTGAAACCATATTCCAGAAAAGTATTGCTTTCTATTTCCACAGAAAATTATGGGAAGACGACATATTTCTAACTAAAACTATCATATAATAATAAATTTACATAATTTTTTAATCTCGTCGTAATTATACATCATTTAGATATAACAATATATTTCCCCAGACGATAAAAGTTCAAAATTCGTTTCCTCTTAAACTTTGACGGAAGAACTAATATCAATAAATAACAGTTTAAAATTGGTTAATGTTCTCTAAACTTTAAATTTAACCAATAACTAACTTAACTAAACCAAAAAATAATCTGATTACGATCCGATTAAAGAATATAAACTAGGTTAAATCATCTTAATACATCTGGATATCCAAGACCTGACTTAAGTAAAATTTAAAACTTTAAAAATTCTAATGTGAAAATAGATCGTCTTCTCATAAATTATAATAACCAAGCATGATAACGTAGTGGTCAGAAGCATGATATAAGATAAGGCGTGAATCTGCATGTCCAGATATTCTAAATTAAAAGGAAATGCTATATAATATATAGTGATTACAAATTAACATACATAAATTTTGGTTAGCTTTTTATTTAATTATTTCTTATAATTTCACATTTCTATTTCATAAATTGTTACAATCAATATTTTTGGACGTTTCAAAGAATATCTGAATAACTAAAAAGAGAACAATGCTTACATCTAAAAGTAGTCAGCGGTAGTAGAACTAGATTCGAAAACCTTAGATTTTGTTTCAAAATATGTAATGATTTTTAAACTTGTTGAAGATTGCCAATTGGGTATTAGCAAAAACAAAATAAAAAGTTATAATTTTAAATTGGCAGAGAGGTTGAGTTCAAGTTGTAAATGAACACTCTCGTATGGGTTTTAAACGAGTAATACTTTACGGCTAGTTTCTCCCAAGGTTTCCTTTATTATTTTAATTGACAGATAATGGTTCCACGGCTGCGTTTTCTTGCGTATATAAGTCAACACTGAGAGATGTGGAATACCAAAAGAGGAAATAGAAAAGATATGGCCATCATCATGAATAAGCCTGTGAACTACTTTATGGTAATTATATCTTGTTTTTCTTCAATAATGTAGTTTAGTACCTTCATTATTTTAGCTGATCAAGATTGATAAAATGTTACTAATTAAAATAGGTTGATGCATTCACCGAGTCAGCTTTCAAAGGGAACCCAGCAGCAGTGTGCATTCTTGAAGAGGACCATGAGAGAGACGACGCATGGCTTCAGTCTCTAGCCGCAGAGTTCAACGTTTCTGAAACTTGTTTTGTGAATCCCATTGGTCACGATGGTCGCTTCCGTCTCCGGTGGTTTACCCCTTCACTCGAGGTTTGGCAACTTTTGACTTCTTTTTTTTGTGAGGTTTGAAATTGGACTCATGAATGTTTTGACAGAAAATGATCTCGAATTCGCGAGTACGACTCTAGAGTTAGACTCACTCTTAAGAAATTAAGTCAAATTTTTTATACCAAAATTAATTAACAAAAGTACAATATTATAGAAGCGTTCAAATTCATTGAAAATAAGCCATATATATTCATAGTAGTCATGTTGATGTGTAACATTTGTTTGTCCTTTTATTTTGGTTATCCCTAAACAGCGTCGTCTCAAAGTATTTGTAGATTTTATTTTCTTAAAAATAATATATTTTAAAAATAAACATATAATTTTAAAAATTCTTAATTCCACCATATATATTTATAATTTTCTTGAAACTGTGGACTCTAAATTTTGAAGTATAATTAAAATATAAAAAATTTAAACCCTAGTTTATACATTTATCTAAAATAATATGTTTTTAGAATTAATGAATTAGAATCATGTTCAACTACTCTACTTGCACATGTTTTAATTGTTGGATTAATTCGTAAGTATGATAAATATACTAGGGGTTATTTAAAACTCGTTCGTTAATTTTGTAGATGGATCTTTGTGGTCATGGAACTTTGGCATCTGCTTATAGCCTCTTCTCAAACGGTTTGGTTGATTCAGACAAGGTAGAGTTTCTAACACAATCAGGTCTTCTTACAGCCAAGCGGGTTCCAGACACTTCAGTGAAAGGAGGATCGTTCTTAGTTGAAATGAACTTCCCTGTGATTCCAACTTGTGAGTTATACAACTCAAGTGAGATCAAGTCCATGTTTTCCAAGGCCTTGAACGGAGCTACCATTGTTGATGTCCGAGGAACCACCAAGTCCACAACTGATAAATTTATCTCCGAAAAAATCGTTGTATGCATTATTAAGAAATATATTTTTCCATATATTTTTGAAAAATACCTTGAAATAGCACTAAAATAAGTGTATTTTTGCTTTCATATCCAAAACCAATGATTAACTTTATCCATCTGGTTACAGGTTGAGCTTCCATCTTGGGAAGCTGTCACTGAACTAAACCCAAACATGGATGAAATTTCAAAATGTCCAGGAAAATTGATCATTGTTACAGCTGCTGCTCCTGAAGGATCTGTGTATGATTTTTGTAGTCGGTTCTTTTCTCCCAGATTAGGAGTGCACGAGGTTAACAATCCTTATCATCTTACTTTGTAGGCTCAAATAAAACACCAAAATTATGTTTAGAACTTTAATTTACATCTATTGTTTGGCTCTTTTGTTCCTTCAGGACCCTGTATGTGGAAGTGCACATTGTCCATTAGCACATTACTGGAGCCTCAAGATGAACAAGTGTGATTTCTTCGCTTACTCGGTGATTCCTCTCTCTCTCAAACTTCTTACCATTTTTAGAGAAGGAACAAACAGTTTAAAAATAAGTTTTGTTCTCAGGCTTCACGTAGGAGTGGATCACTGAAGGTTCGTTACGATAAGGAGAAGCAGAGAGTTTTTCTCACTGGAAAAGCTGTGACTGTGATGAAAGGCTCTATTCTACCGTAATCTTGATTTTAGAAGTCATGACTTGGAGATGTGGAAGCACAAGTTTATCAAGTTGTCTCAATAAATGATGAAATTATATCTATGATCATCTTCCATAATAAACAAATAGGTTCACATGAAATGTATTCATATGTTTTCAGTGTTCATGTTGGATTAATGAACTTACATGTAATTCTCATTAGTCAATAATCAAAAATAACTTTGTGTTTCATTCATAGTTTTTGGATACTTGTGAAGCAAGTGAATATTAAATATGGGGATAGCTGAAAGTCAGATATGGTAGGGCTAACAACAATTGTTTGCATTAATAGAGAGCTAAACTGCTCCGTGTAGACAATATCACAAGTTCACTACGGTCCAGATCTAGCTTCCCTCTCCCCCTTCTCCCATTTCAGTGAATTGTTTTCTTTCCAAATGACTTGATATTGTATCAGTGATCTCCTTGCTTTAGACTTTACTTTCACAGTTATTTCATGTTGTACACTTAGGCTCAATGAGGGTATATAGAACAACCAACTTGTATAAGGTTAAGTTTTACACTTAATCCCAGCTCATTTACCTAAACGCATTATGACTTTGTAGAACAATATTTTAGTGTGGCCTATGATAAATTATCACTCAGAATTTTCTGTCCTGCTCTTGCAGCTACAAACAGTCAAGATCAACCAAGCTGGCTAATATGCTGGAACGCTACGCAAAGGTGAAAAATCAACAAAATGAAAAAAAAATTAGGGTCTAGGGTTTAGTTTCTTATTTATGTTATTGTTGCTTCTTCATTTCTTTTAGTTTAGTCCTTACCCAACTCTCATTGAATGTATCTGCCGCATATTTCCATTTCTTTTATTCTGTTTTATCAAAAATGTAATTCAAATATAACAAAACGTCATGGTCACCATTACCATCATCCAAATCTGCCCGTCTGGCGGTGTCACTCGATATGAATTACTTTTGAAGTATCAAACAATAACGTGCAATTGGAGTATATTCAGTCATTGTTTGTAGTGGCTAAATGAGAGCCGGGTCCATTTTGTAGTTAACTTTTAATTTTGGATTTATTGATTTATAATCTATTAGAAAAGGAAAAAGGAGCCAAATAGGAGGGAGCGGGTCAAGTTTTGTAGCCAAATGGGAGAGCCCGGGTCAGCTATTGTAGCTCAAGTGTCGTTTGCTTACACACTATATTGTCTACTAAATTTTCAATACATAAATTAGTAGATATATAAATTGAAAAAATGTAGAAGCTTTTGCCGACTCTGTTATTGTGGATATATAATAATAGTAAAAACCTACACATAAGTATTTTAAAAACTTTTAAATAGTTTTCTTAAGTATAGGAAAAAAAATGGATAAAAATATATTTTGAAAATCCGAGGTCAAACACCAGCAAAGAAAGGAAACTAGTTAACCTAACTTAAATATTAGGTTTTGAGAAGACTAGGGATCTATGCATATATGATTTGTTGATTAAAAGAAATTTTGAGCTAAATTAGCTAATGTCGGTATTTCATCTAATGTAATTAGCTAGCCATCAAAATAGAAGAGTTCATCCACAAATAGTCGATTCGTTTTTTTATTAACTTAAAAACGTACATCTTTGAGTAATATTCATTTTTATTAAGCACTCTTTTAAAAAAACCTTTATGACACAGAGTCGTCATCAGCACACTGTAATTTACTACTTTCAAACAATATACATCTTTATCCTGTTTCATCAAAATGTAATATAATAGTAAACACGAAGTTCTATGAATCTGAATGAGCTCTTCTCATAATCTTTGACGAATCTCGTGCTATGACTGAATACTATTCTTTATTAAAAAGATATGGGTGGTGACTGGTGTTAATAGATAAGGCATATAAGTAAGAAGGTTATAACTGATGAAGAACGCACCTAACAAAAAAAGCAACATGGAGCAGCGATAAGACTAATGATGTCTCATGTCTGAGTCGTGTTAGACCAATATAATATAACCAGTCACCAACTAATTCTACGTCATTTGGATCGGTTCTCCACTTCGCACACCCCACGCCGTACATGAAATCAATTATTTTTCAAGTGAGCAATATTTTGGTCTTTCATGTACTTTCTTCCAGTATATAGATATCTAAGACAATCTTTGTCTACTGTCTGTGTATATTTTACGACGATCATGACTCATGAGTTCGAGTACTAACAGCAGGGAAAAAAAACTAATTCAAAAGGTCCTGATGATTTCTTTGGAAGAAACTGTGTACTTTAAGACGCATAGCTTTGTGGATGGTAATCTTGTTAACAAACACAAATTATAAGTACGTTACGTGAGTTTGTTATAGTATAAATAGTAAATTCGATTTGGTTTTGGAAACAAGTTAGAATAATAATCGATTTGTAATCAAGCATTGGTTTTAACTTTTAAATGCACATATATATATATATATATATATATATATATATATATATATATATATATATTGAGTTTTACCTTAATCCCTATTGATTCAAAGAATATAAGTAACTATCAAAAAAAATTTCAAACAGTCACTATAAATTCTATCAAATTCGGTAGGTTTTGGAGGAACACACTTAGTAATATGAAGTGGATTGGCTCGAAAACATATCATATTATCTAATCCGAATTTGAAATACCTTTCAAGAAAATGGACCGATCATTTGTTAAAACCCACCATATTAACTATTTAGACGTAAATCTAAATTCAGATTAGTCAAATAATGATAATTTAGTTCCCGACAGAAATTAAACTTAAAAACTGATATAAATACACCAAACTCTAAAAAATTGCGAGTAGGCGATCACCACTATTTTTGATAATAACTAACAAGAAAACATTTTAATTATTAAAAATTGAATATCAAATAACACTTGGAACTAGATTATTTAACATGGTTTAGAGTTTATAGAAACGTATAGATTTCGATCCAAAATATAGTAGTAAAAACATAATAAATTTTAACTTTGTATAAAGTACAAAATAAAATAGGCATTTTTGCAAGTGCATGAATTCCACACAAATTTTATCTGTCCTTATGCGAGTGTGAAAGACATTATTGTTGACAATTGTCTTTTGTCACTCGAGAAATGTGAAAGACATTATTCTTGACTTGTTTAGATATTAGGAAGCCATCCGCTGGACTCGATTGTTGATAATTATTTCTTTTTCTTTTTGGATGTTCTTAACAGCACATGTAGCCATATATCTGAGAGCATGTAGCATGCCAACACAAAAAACCATCATTAAACTAATATTATGGTTTTAAGACCCTTTTTACGAGAACAATGCATTAGGCGAAATCAGATGAACTGTTAATTGATATGACTAACATAGAAACAACTCTCTTTTACGTTTGTCAAGATCAAGAAAATGAACCAAAAGAGAATATGGGAGTCCACTAGAACTATTTTGTCTAATTTGTTTTGTATGTGAAGATCATATACAAATTTACTGATTTTTTTTTTTTTTTTTTGTAGTTCTAGACTTCTACTTGATACGTATACAGATCTGCAACTTGCATGTTACGCTAACATATAGTATGATATACTCAGTGACGGCCCTGAAGAAAATTTTGAGTAAGCTAAGGTTCACTAATTTTAAAATTTTGGTAGAATAAATGAATATTATGTCCATGTTCTGACGCATAAACAACAATAAATAAAGAACATGATTTTATATTTTTACTAGTTTATTGGATACTTATTTATTGACAAGAAATCATAGACAAATGGTTTCAATCGGTTGTTCAAATCACTAAGTTAACAAAATGTTTCGATTATCAGTTACGTGTTGAAGAGAAATTCTCCGTCGCAACTAAAATATTATAAGAAATTTTATGTTTTATGCAGTATAAATTTTAAAATTATTTAGTTTATTTTATGTAGGGTTTCGTATATTTCAGAACCCGATATCATACATACATGTATACGAACGTTCACGTCACATCCTGCATCTTTGCCCTATATAAGAAATACGATATTAACCAAGGCAAACATAACCACTCGTTCAAAATTATATATATTGCTCCTACTTTTATCTCCCTAAATCATCCTCCTACTATTAAGATATAATCAAACCAAAGAGATTGCTATTTTTTTTTTGTTTAAGAAGATTGTTATTAGGATGGACGAAGTGAAGAAGATGAGTTGTATGAAGAAGGCAATGCCATTCATATTAGTGATATTATTACAAGTAGGACTAGCAGGAATGGACATTCTCACAAAGGCTGTCCTAAACGAAGGCATGAGCAATTACGTCCTTGTGGTTTACCGTCATGGTGTTGCTGCCATCGTTATGGCCCCGTTCGCTTTCTACTTCGACAAGTACGTTCTATATCTCTTTCTTTCTCAAAACACAATTCAATGTTTGGTTTAGTTTGAAGACCATGATATGCAATTGTACTTTTTTGAGAAAATTAATATGCATTGTACATTCTTATTTGTGTTTGTAATATGTAAACGCAAAGGCAAAAGTAAAAACAACCTTGGCTGTAGTTTGGTTCATACTGGTAACCGAGACACTGAGTCTGCATTACTACATATTTTCTTCCCCAAAACGATTTATTAAAGGCCCCTTTATTAGATACATAAAAGATCACAATACATATGATTAAGCCCTTTTTTTGTCACTGACTTATGATTAAGCGGCCTACATATGACAATTGAGTGTTTTTATGGGTGGTGTTTGACGTTTAGTGTGTTGAAAAAAAAGTAGCAAGAAGATAGAATGGGGGGTCCAACGTAAATATGACAACAAGGGGTCACTCATAAAAGTCCAAAACATTTGTAGGGTTCATAGATTGATTTTCTGTGGCTTCTGTCTATGTCATGCATTGTACTTTACATGCTTTTCACAGTCTTTCTATTTACAGAAAGATTCACGAATTCAACATTTAGTACTTAGTCAAAAGCGGTTATATATGTTTTACCCAATTAGGGGTTTTCTTATAAAAATATTTAATCATATGATTCTTAAATAGCTTTTTCTTTACTTTGTTGACAACGGTTGTCATATGAGCACAAGTCAATAAGGACAACAAATGGTAAAACTGCAGAATGGTGATGTACATAATGCTCAGAGCCGTGCCACCGTTGAAGAAAAGAAATTGAAGCGTTTGTTATTGTTTATGACATTATTATTAATTATATTTTTTTGAATTTTATACTAAAACACATCTACATATATAGGTTTATGCTAAATGTTTAATTTGGATAAGCTAAATATTAAACTAGATGAAAAGAACCAGATAAAGTTGATTGCTAGAGTCTTATGGTTACATAATCAAATTTTAATAGTTAAACTGACCCAAGCTTCTAAAGCGAAAAATTATTTTATATGAATTTTATTTCAGTAAAACATTTATCGATTTTGTTTTATTATTTGCAGATTGATTTATCTTTTGGTCATAATTTAAATTGGGTTGACAGTTTTAATTTAAGTGAATATATATATATATATATATATATAATTTACAATATGTTAACTTGTTTTAAATATGAATATTTTAAAAATATTTCACGTGTCTAGTTTTTTTATTTTGAATAAAAATATGATTATGAAAATGAAAATTAATGATTTTTTATTTTATTTTTTGGCCTAGATAATAATATTATAAAACTTAACTTATTTTTATTTATGGTAGACATCACAATTTTAAAATATTAGTACCTAATTTACAATCTTACAAGTTTTATACCTTTTTGTAGGGTGAATATTATTTTTTTGATTTAATATTCGATTATATATTTATATACTAACAGTATATTTATCTATTTTGTAACTAAACGATATAATTTTAATTTCTAATTTTATTTTAGCTTTTTATAAATTCACTTTTATATTTATAAAATATTTGTGTATAATAAAAAATTAATAATTATATTAAAAGTAAATATTTCTTTTTAGTTAAATTTTAAATTAATTAATCAAATATAGATGCTAAGAGATATTCGTGATATATTTAAATGTTGGTAAAGATATTAACATTTTGACATATTGTCCTATTAAGATAAAAATGTAAGTATGATCCACTAAAAATATCACATATAAAAACTTGGATGATTTTATTTTAGTAAGAAGAAATATAGTTTTAATTTCTTATTTTATTTTAGTATCTTACGAATTAATTTTAGTATTAATAAATATATAGAGTAAAATTATTTTGATAAGATTATGTATAATAAAAAGGTATGTATTTATTAAATTAAAAATATAAGTAAAAGAAAAGAGATAATAATTCTTCTTGCTAATGCTACATAAATTAGATAAATTAAGATTGATTAAGTTTTCATTATAATCATTTATATAATAAATTTAAAAGTTTGCTCATAAATTTTATATTATAGTAGCTGTTTAGTTTGTTGGTGTTTTCAAATATTCTTGATATATGATAACTGTGTTTTATTGTAATTTGTTTTGAAAATTGAGGCATTTTATTTTTAGCCGTTTATGATAGCTGTTAATGTTGGTACAACTCTGATAATGTTTAACTTGGTAAATATAACAGGACAACCCGACCTAAGATGACACCAATTATATTTTTCAAGATAACACTCCTTGGCTTGTTCGAGTAATATATTTTCTCCACCTTTTTATAATCCTTTCATTGTCTATCATTTTCATTTTAAATTCTGATTATTTTTGTAATTTTGTTAATATAACAGACCAGTAATAGACCAGAACTTATTTTGTCTGGGTATGAAATACACGACAGCAACATTTGCGACTGCCTTGTACAACACCTTACCCGCAGTCACTTTCATCCTAGCCGTGATAGTTAGGCTAGAAAAAGTGAAGCTTCGGAGTATCAGGAGTGCAAGTAAAGTAGTTGGGACAATGGCTTCAGTAGGAGGAACCATGATTATGACACTTGTTAAAGGTCCAGCTCTCGACCTTTTTTGGACCAAAGGACCCTCTAAACAGAACACAACCGGGACCGATATTCACAGTTCCATCAAAGGCGCAGTTTTGGTCACAATTGGTTGTTTCAGCTATGCATGTTTCTTTATTCTCTATGTAAGGCGGATTTATTTATATTCATATTTTTAAAACACAATTGTAGATAGGTTTGGTCGGCAATTTAGTAAGGATTTTAATGGTATATTTTTATAATTTTGAGAGTCTACATTCGTATATACTAACTCTAAAATATCATAGGTCAAGGTTTCATTGTTTAGGACGGCTCTGCTTATATATCGATTTTTATAATAAATCAAATGATTTCAGGCGATCACGTTAAAGACTTACCCGACCGAGCTCTCACTCACAGCATGGATATGCCTAATGGGAACAATAGAGGGAGCAGCTGTGGCATTAGTCATGGAGAGAGGAAATCCTGGTGCATGGGCCATTGGTTGGGATAACAAACTACTTACCGTCATATATAGTGTAAGATTCAGACATGTCTCAATAAAACATTACCTTGTGGACACATTTGTAGGCTATTTCTTATAGTAATTTAAATGATCTGGAAAATAAAATGCATGCAGGGGATAGTGTGCTCAGCGCTTGGTTATTACATTGGAGGACTGGTGATGAAAACTCGAGGTCCTGTGTTTGTAACAGCTTTTAGCCCTCTTTGTATGATCGTAGTAGCGTTTATGTCGAGCATCATCTTTGCTGAACAAATGTATCTTGGAAGGTAAGTAAAAACACACCAAAATTTAGCCACGAGTTAGATAATATAAATTCATGATCTAAATGAGTTTAATAAAATAATTTTGTTCTTTGGTAGGGCTCTTGGTGCAGCGGTTATATGTACAGGATTATACCTTGTGATCTGGGGTAAAGGAAAAGATTACAAAGATGCATCCACGCCGCCTGCACTAACAAAACTAGAACTGACTGGAAATGAGAAAAATAGTGTTGGTCATGAAAGCATTACTATCAGGAAGGAAGGAGAACAAAGACAAATTGTAGAAACAGTTTAACTAAACATTATCAGCACAAATGTATTATTGAAAGAGTCAGTACGAATATCAGTTGCTTTTCTCAAAACAAAGTGAAGAATCCTTCAATTTATATAAATATACAATGAAGATGATCATCATTAGGTTAGGTGGGCATTTGGATATCCGCTCGGATTCAGTCCGGTATTTTAGTATAGGGGTATAGAATTCGTTCGGGTACTTTTATACTTTCGGTCAGGTTCAGGTGGTTTAGGTTTTTATATTTTTCACAAAGTTACATAGTTTTTGCTAAAAACATATAATTAAACCGGAAATATAATCTTAGAATCTAAAACAAACCCAAAAACAAAAAGAATGGTCAATATTATGTAGGACCTTTACCATCCAAGCCAAGGCCCATAGATATAAATGGCCCTTTTACACCATAGCTTTTGTTTTATACTTGTAAGATCTATTAATTCTTAAGTTTTGATGATGCTTGTACTTTTCATGATTATAGAATTGGAGGTTCGACATGATGTACTTTTCATGGGTGTGGGAGTAGGTGCGGTTGATAATACCGATGTAAAAAAAATGTTCTGTCACAAGAGGACCTCCAACCCATGAACTAATGAATTTTTTTTGGCAATATGGATTTCCACTAGACTAAAGAGAACCTTTAGATAATGTGGCCGAAAATAGATGATAAAAAAATTGGCCGCAAGCGAGTGTTTCTCCCGCTTTGCCCAAGAGCCGGCACTGCCTAGAGCACAATAGAACCAACTCTTTGCACTAGTCACTAGGCCACCACACTTTTGGTATGCTGGTAGTACTTGCAGTTGGTCTGTACTGATTTTCGTAGAAGATTAGGTCTTAATAGATGTTTTCTTGAGCGCTTGCGTCTCTGGTGGTTAATTATTATAGAGGATTTTGAGTTTTTGAGCCATTGTGCAACAAAAAGAAACATTCGAAACGAACTGTCATTTTCCTTAGTTCCATTATGATATATTATTTTCTATGTTTTTGTTTTACCATGTTTTTCTTACTTCTATTATGATTAGTTAGCAATTCCTATCTACTAACTATGATTCCTTCTTTTTTTTATATTTTCGTTTTACTATGAATAGACATCAGGAATTGGATCCTTAACATTGAACAGAAAGCCTCGATAATGTCAATAAGATTCTAGTGGGGGACAAGGTTGATCTGGAGGAAAGCAAAGAGTATTTATACCTCCATGTTTGGTATTTTCCAACTTAATTTCCACGTGATTTTTGTGAAGATGTTACAGTATTTGTTATTCCTAGGCTGTGCCAAATTCCAAAGGCCAAGCTCTTGCAGATGAATATGGAATCATTCTCTTGTCTTATCATGCGCGGTGCCCTTGCAATTAACTTCTAGAAGACGTTAAGTTTTACTCAAGATAAATCTTGGAATATCAACTATAAATTATTAAATAAACTTCTATAGGACGTTAGGTTTTATTCAGGATAATCTTGAAATATCAACTATATATTCTTACTGTGTATTAAAATAAATAAATTATTACGGTAATGAAAAGGAAATATCTCTTAATATTTTTAAATGTAAATTTGGTCTAAAACTGTGCAGGTCCTTCGAATCCTAGCTGATGCCCAACAGTATAAGCAAGTATAGTTTATACGAAACATACACAAATGTATTTCTAAGAAATTTGTTTTCCAAGCAGTATTATGGGTCTGATTGTAGTATTTAACTCGGTCAATAGAAATGTATTACCTTACTTTCTTGAGTTGTCTTTAGTGGACATCGCAGCAAAATTAGTCAATCCATAAACCACCCTTATAATTCCAATTTATTTACCTACATGCCTACCTTGTGCCTTGTGAGTGGCGATAACAACTACTGATTGACAATATTATTGTGGTTTCGCTTCTTGCAGCCACAAACAATCAAAGATCAAAACCTGATCTTTCTGAATATCAGTGTGTTGCTGTTCTTAAACATGTAACCCGCGAAGGAGTAGGAAAAAAGACGGAAAAAGGAACATTTTCTAACCTCTAGTTTCGTCCATAACTCTTAGGGTATTTAGTGATTTAAACCTTCAACTATTTTTAAATCGGATGAAAAACCTCCAACTAAAAGTTTATGTTTTTAAACTTCCAACTAATAAACTGTTAATGCCGTTAATCTTCCGTTATCAAAATCGTATTTTCATAACGGAAATCCGTTAAATCAAAACACCGCGTTTCATGTAATTTCAAAATCGACACGAAGTTCTTATCATCAATATATATTTTAGTGATTTAAACCTTCAACTATTTTTAATTCAGATGGAAAACCCCCAACTAAAACTTTATGTTTTTCAACCTTAACTATTAAATATTTAATGCTTTTAACCCTCTATAAAAAAGTCATATTTTCTGAATGGGAAACCGTTAAATTGAAACACAGAGTTTCATGTAATCATATAAACGACTTGAAATTTTTAAACCCCTTATATCAATGGGTAATGACAATAACAATTCATCCTCAAATAGAAAAATTAGAGTTATGTTTTTCTCTTCATCGAAGGTGAGATAAGTCCAAATGTTGTGTTGTTTCTTATTCTAGACTATGATTGTATGGCACTTTTGGCGATATATTTTAAGAGTAAAACATAAATACTTTGACTCCAGCTAATATTTAGTTAATCAGGTAAAAAATGTTCCATTTTTCTTTTCGCTATTACTATTGAAACATAGTAAAATTGTTTCTTTTCTCTTTTTTGGTTTATGTAGAGAAATATGTGTTGTGTTAGCTTTTGTATTGTTTTCCATCTTTTATTTTTCTTTGTTTTTAATCTATTTCTTTTACTCTATATTGTGTTAGTGGTATCCAATAGATCCTTATTGTTTCTCTCATGTTCATTTATTTAACATTTCTTTTTTTAGGATGAATTGTGATAGTCATTGCCCATTGATATAAGGGGTTTTAAAAATTTCATGTGGTTTATATGATTTCATGAAACTCTGTGTTTCAATTTAACGGTATCCCGTTTAGAAAATATGATTTTGTTTACAGAAGGTTAAAAGCATTGAAGATTTAATAGATGAGAGTTTAAAAACATAAAGTTTTCGTTGGAGATTTTCCATCCGATCTAAAAATAGTTGGAGGTTTAAATCACTAAAATATATATTGATGATAAGAACCTCTTGTCGTTTATAAAATTACTTGAAACGCGGTGTATCAATTAACGAATCTCCGTTAAGAAAAAACGATTTTGATAACATAAGGTTAACGGCATTAACAGTTTAATAGTTGAAGGTTTAAAAACATAAAATTTTAGTTGAAGGTTTTTTATCCAATTTAAAAATAGTTGGAGGTTAAATTACTAAAAGCCCTAACTCTTACTATCAAATGTAACTGACGCATATCTTCATATCGAAGTGATGCCTACTCTCTGCTTTATAGTTCCCAGATCAAGACGTACTTGCATCTCCTAATCCTCCTTTATTTTTTTCCTGATTCTATATATTTGAAATCATTATTTACTTTCAAACAGTATCCATTTCCTTTTAATTCTGTTTTATTAAAAATTAAATAAATTCAACAATCAATGCGAATAAACCAATTAAAATCTATATATCTTTTTTTTTAAGTTGGATAAAAATATGAACGAGCTTTTCTCATGATTAGTGCTACAAATATAGGAAGAACATCTCGTGTCATGATTTATAACTCTTCATTATGGATAACAAAAACTATAATGCAAAAAAAGAACGATAATGCATGGTGATTATAGATAGGGCAAAGAAGCACGTATGTTATTTGAATCTGATGAAGAACGCACCGAAGAAATAAAGCTGCAAGTGGTGATAGACTGATGTGTGAGTCGACTTACACCATTTTTATATATCGACAGACACACTCCAAGTTCCCATCACCAATTACTTCACTTAGATTTGTTCTCCATAACTCACACACCTTCGTCTTCTCTCATGTTTCTAATTAGTCAAATTTGGGATTGTTAATGTAATGTTCCAATGTAATGTTCCCATCACCTACATTTCTAATTACTAACTTCATCTAAACTACTCCCCCTTCTTTTAGATTATAATATTTAGTAAACTCATTTTAAATTTAGGAAAGTAGTATGTTGAGTATTTTAAATCTGAAAGAAATTAGGATATGTAAGTATGAAAATGATTCCAAGTCAGTAATCCAGGCTTCTCCTTACATTTTTTTTTTAACACAACTTACTTTCCTTCATCAACTTTTTTGAATACAAATACAAGAGGAAATTATCCAATCCTCTTTGATAAAAAGCATAAGCTACAATAACAAATCAAATTAAGAAAGATAGGTCTTCAATAGAAGATGACAGCGATTCAATCAAAGCGTCGAAGGGACATACCCGACATAGTCGGACAGCTGAAACTTAGTCACATAATGTGACGTTGAGGGCCAGCCCTCACCTGCGAGACATCACATGGTAATCTCGGTTGTATTTTCAGGCCCCATACAGACCACTACACAAGATAACAAACATATGATAAAGCTGAAACCGATGCTCGACAGCGAGGCCTGAGAAAACATCTTCTTCCATGGGAAGAAAGGATGGTGGAAAATTCCTCTCTTCAAAAGACGAGGAAGATTGAAAAGGTCTCCTTATATTATAAAAATAAAATTTTTAATAAACTCACATAGAATCGTATAAGTTATTTGCTTCCAGCTAGATTTCTGATGAATTTGCAATCATCGAGAATTTCTTTGTTTTATTGTAGTGTACACTTAAATTCAACTCATGGTAGTGTGAAAATCAACTCATGGTAAATTATTTGCTCTTTGATACTATGTTAATGTACATAAAATTTCAACTCAAAATTAATTGGAAATACGTGAAATAGCAATCTTTTTTATATAGCCTATGTTACTATATATATATTGAAAAAGTCTATGTTATTATTACTTTATGTTTGCATCCTATATCAGATGTGAAATTTCGTATAGTTGAAAGAATACGAAACAAGTAGATAAAAAACAAGAAATCGAGAAAGTGTTAATAGACTACTCTACGAAAAACTAATTTAACAAAGAAAATAAGTGTTCATGTATGTTAAGTTTCAATAAAAACTAAGTAGATTAGGATGAATTATTGTAGATTAAATAATATCTTTAAAATTCTACCTAAAAGGAAAAAGGCTAATAAATAAAAGGTAAAGGCTAATCGTTACACTCGCACTCCTGACTTCCATTAGAGAGTATTATATTCTGCTACTCTCTAATAACCATATTTAATCACAATAAAGCATACCCTCCATACACAATCATGCTCAATAAATAGTCTTGCTCTGCCTATGTAGGTATTATTTTGGGCACTTGAGTTTGTGTATAAAATAATGTGGATAATGTCGATAATAAATATATAGTGAGGTGAGAACTATTGAAATATAATGTAGATATCCATAATAATGTTTGAGGGTAAGAGAACGAAGAACTGTTTTAACGTAATCATGCATATAGAGACTATGATGGGATCTTAACAAAATTCGGATATCTATGAGCAAAAATCCATTTCATTTCCTAATGATATTCACGAATATAAATAATATAACTCCTCCATATATTTGTTCATAAACTTCTTTCTTGAAAGAACACAAAAACATATAATCGAGGTATAATTTCTGATAAATATAAAGTATTTGAAGATAATACAATACCCATATGTATTAAAATGAAGACCGCCCAAAGCTTTAGCACACAATAATGCTGAGGAAAGCATTAATAAGACAATAATGCGAAAGAAACAAGTTAACAGAAAAGGAGCAATAGGGAGACTTGATCAGAAGAAGACGATCGTTACGTCTTTCTTTTGTTGTATCTTTGACCAGATAAATCAATGGATCCCATTCTTCATCTTTTCTCTTTCGGTAACTATATTCAATTTTAGAGCTTTCAAAACAGCCTTATATATGCGGTTTCGTATCGTACGTCCACATATATATGTAGTAGCTAGATATTATAGACTTAAGACTTGTGTGGTTTGGCGGACTTTGCAATGTAACTTGTAACCTCATATTAGATCATCTGGAGGTTTGTACAAAACACTGGATCTATATGAAAATAAAGTACAAAATTGTTGAAAAGAAGAGGTTCACCAAAATCATACTTCACTTTCAATAATATTAGCGATTAATTTTTTTTAATAATTGCGATTAATTCATTCTTTTGTGACAAAAAAAAATCCATCCTTAATCCTTGTTTGTTTATAATAAGAAGGGAAAAAAATCATTGCACCACAAGGAGTCTTACTTTTTGTCAGCCCAAAAGGGAAAGAAGATGTCTATTTAAAATCCCCAATGTTATCTTGCACGTCTCCTATTGGCTCTTAACAAAGGACGTTAAGGTTTTGGTCTAATTAAAATTATAATTTTGTGAATAAGATTTGTTTCATATTGCATACGTCACATTTATGTAATATTATATATATTAGCGCATATATATAGTATGTAACATGTATATTACTCCAAAATCTCTTATATATTATTTGTAAAGTGATTTTGACATAGATCGTCACCATAATCAACTTTATCAAAAAAAATGATGACATATTCACTAATAATGATGACATGTTTTGATATGCACATTTACATTTTATGTTAATATATATTTTTGATAAATTTTTTGAATATGATAATAACTCATAAATTATTATTAACATAAAAATAAATAATATAATAATAGAAATAAAAATATAATCATATTTATAATTTTGAAATATTTTTCAAGTCTATTTTAATAATTATATAATTTTATTAATAATTTTTTTGCAAAATTTTATGCGGATTTTTATATAAAAGTTGTAATTTTATCTTAATTTTACATATAATTAATCTAAAATTAAACAAAATAATAAACTTAAAAAATAACTAAATTTTATTTTTAAATATAATTTTATTTTTAAATTTTTTTATTTCTGTACAAGGTGCAAGAAAATACCTAGTATATATGTAAACGAACGTATGGCTTGATTCAACGTAGTACATTCTTTTCAGCTAGAATTTAGACCCAGTGAAGAAATAAGTGACATTATTTCACTACTAAAAGATTTTTATTTAGTAAATGGGTGGTTGACAAAAGAAAAAAAAATTCCATTTTTCTTATGGTTGACTAATAAAAAGATAATTACGAGTGTCTTTGGGATATGCTTATTTTTATGTTGAGTTATTTACTTTATTATTTTAACTAATTTACAAAATTGTATATTTAGAGATTTTATCGTTTGTGATCTTTTTATAAGAGAGTGGTCAGCAGAGGAGAGGAGAGGAGAGCAAACTCTAGGACGGAGAGGAGCTATTCTGAAGGCCATCCTAAAAAATTTCACCCGATGAATCCTTCGATGCTTCAGCCTAGGGACACTTTTTTTTGGTTAAAACCTAGAGACACTTATAGTTCTGCGTTTGACTTATATTATATGCAACTGCGAAAATGCCTTTGAACTGCATCATGTGTGTACTATTTATTGCGATTGTTAAATACATATTCATCTGCCAAGTGTAGAATATAATGAATCACAAACATTTTAGTAATAAAGAACCGATCCTTCCCTTTTAGAAAACAAAACTATATGCAAAGAAAATAATTAAGTGGTTCCACCATTAACTGATTAAGTGGCAAAGTGGTAACAGTGAAACGGACCCAAATTATTGGCAACTATACTATACGTTACGGACCCAAATTATTGGCAACTATACGCACTTACGAGTTACGTCAATAAATATTCCATGAACTAAAATAAAATATAAAAAAAAAACTTGATAAAAAGCAAAAATCTAACCAGTAGTCATTCTACCTAACAGTGTCGGTATATCGTGACTCATTAATCATTTACATAGTTTATATTTTATAGTACAAAATATGAGAAAGAAACACTCGATTCATGAACCCCTCTCCTGGAGTTAGGCGACCATGTCATAGATAAACTATCGAAACTCCTCAAAATTTTCTAATACGGGAAAAATTTCAGCCATGTTAAGAAAAGTGAATACCAGTGTAACCAACTAAACTTCTAAATTTTTATTTTTATTGTTTTGTAAAAAGGCATCTAAACTTTTATATTACTAAATAAATAAAAGTAAATATTAATAAACCATTATTGCCTTTGCGTCAACAATGGCTTTATGTTGATAAAATTAACAGTGCATTTTACTATGGGTAGTGAAGGACCAAATGTCTACTTCCATAAATACATTGTTAGATTCGGGAAATTGAATTGAATGAGAGAATATTGACATAACGTGCGTTCCAGTTCGATCAAATATGGGAATCCACAGCACTAAGCTATTTTGTTTATTTAGTCAGGCTATGTGAAAATCAAAACGTATTCTCAAATGTGTAGATTGATTGTTTTGAGCATCGTTTTTGGTTCTAGTTGATAAGATAGAGATATAGGCCCATAAATTCAGGGTAGGGTATACCAACTTTATACACATACTTCTATAATAAATCTTTAAACTAACGTAGAGAGAATAATCACATCACATCCTTTATCTTTGGCCTTATATAAAGAGAGATAACCATGTCAATTATTCAACTGAAACAACCTTCCCATATATCTCCATCGCTACTAACGAAAGAGAGAGATTGTTTGATCTTAAATTATAAGCTAGATGGAGGAAGTAAAGAAGAGGGACTGTATGGAGAAGGCAAGACCATTCATTTCAGTGGTATTGTTGCAAGTAGGGCTAGCAGGAATGGACATTCTCTCAAAAGCTGTCCTAAACAAAGGCATGAGCAATTATGTCCTTGTTGTTTACCGTCATGCCGTTGCTACCGTGGTTATGGCCCCGTTTGCCTTATATTTCGACAAGTACTCTCTACTATCCTTTCTTTAGAATAATTTATTTGATGTAGTTCAAAGTTTGGTTGGTAGTTTGAAGACCATGAGTCATGTGTTAATTTGTAGTTCAAACATGGAAACCAAAAACTACTAAAACCATGTTTTAATACCTATTAATCATTATAAGTAAAGCAACGAACATAAAATACAAATGTAAGAAACAAACAATTGTGACCCCATTCAACAAAATGAATTCTTTATGAAATTATGAAACAATTGTCATTCGTTTAATAAGATTTTTTTTTTCTTTCTGTGGGTTGTGTATAGACGTTTAGTGTATTGAAAATAGCAAAAAGAAAGAATGAGGCTTGTGACGTAGTTATACACGATAAGAAGGGGTACGTACTCATGTGTTAAAAAGACAAAACACTTTGTAACGGTTCACTGTCATGCATTGCAGAATATTTCACATTTCTAGTGTGCAACTCTATGGGTGAAAATAAGTACTGGTGCAAATATAATTGTCCTTTCTAATGTATTTAACATTTAGAATATTGTCTTTTCGGTTGAAAATATAATTGTCCTTTCTAATGTATTTAATGGTTATGATGTGAAAAAAACAGGAAGATGAGACCTAAGATGACGTTAATGATATTCTTCAAGATAACACTTCTTGGTTTACTTGAGTAATATTTTATTTTCCTAATCTTCCTTCCTCCCACATGTCTCTTGTTCCTTGAGACTGATTTTTTTCTTTCTGTCATGTATATCTGAAATATAATAGGCCAGTGATCGACCAAAACTTATACTATCTGGGGATGAAATATACAACGGCTACATTTGCAACCGCCATGTACAACGTTCTACCCGCAATCACTTTCGTTCTTGCCTATATATTTGGGCTTGAAAGAGTGAAACTAAGGTGCATTAGGAGCGCAGGTAAGGTGATTGGGACATTGGCTACAGTTGGAGGAGCCATGATAATGACTCTTGTAAAAGGTCCAGTTCTCGACCTCTTCTGGACCAAAGGAGCCTCGGCACTAAACACAGATGGAACCGATATTCACAGTGCTATCAAAGGCGCAGTTTTGGTCACAATCGGTTGTTTCAGCTATGCATGTTTCATGATTCTTCAAGTAAGACGATCTTTGAAAAAAGCATATTAAATTTTGATAGTACATGTAATTTTTTGTGATTACCAATTTTCAATAATTTTATACCAATAGTGTTTTAATACGTACATTTTTGAACATATTATATATATATATATATATATATATATATATATATATATATATTTAAACAAAAGTTTTAGAATATTTAAATTTCTGAAACAGAGGGATAAAGAATAAGATATCTATTGATAAATTTTGAAGATAAATCAATTCTTTTCCAGGCTCTAACGTTGAGGACTTATCCAGCTGAACTCTCACTCACAGCATGGATATGTCTAATGGGAACAATAGAAGGAACTGCCGTGGCATTAGTGATGGAGAAAGGAAACCCAGGCGCGTGGGTCATTGGTTGGGACACTGAACTTCTTACAGTGGTTTACAGTGTAAGATTTAGACATGCCATCACTAAATTAGTGATTCATCTGACTGTCTTGTAATTTAATTATGTTAACAAGTTAAAATTCAATGTAAAATGCATGCAGGGGATAGTGTGCTCGGCAATTGCTTACTATGTTGGAGGAATGGTGATGAAAACCAGAGGTCCTGTGTTTGTAACAGCTTTTAGTCCTCTTTGCATGATCATAGTAGCGATTATGTCTACTGTCATCTTTGCTGAACAGATGTATCTGGGAAGGTAAGCAAGATACCAAACAACAACATCAAAATATAATAATCAAAATCAAATTAAGATAATGGAAAATATATTTTCCTTTGGCAGGGTTCTTGGTGCGGGAGTTATATGTGCAGGACTTTACCTTGTGATATGGGGCAAAGGAAAAGATTACCAATTTTCTTCGACACCACAAACATGTGATGAATCAACACAACCAAAGTTGGAACTAAGCAGAAAGGGGAAAGATAATGTAAATCATGAAGTCATTACTATCAACAATCAAGGAGAACAAAGAACATTCGTAGAAACAGTCTAACTGTATATATAATACAACGAGGGCACAAAAATGCTTTGCATGGAGTAAACGGACGTATACCACTTTCATATGTTGTTCACTATGTATCAGAGAAACTGTAGGATAGAATTGCTAACTATCATGGGAGGAAAATAATTGTGGAACACGAATATAAATGTAAACAAAATAAAAATTGATGAAGCATTAATTGACTCATGTATTTGCTAAAAAAAAAAAAAAAAAAGCATTGACTCATGCAATAGACAATGAATATGATTAATCCTGTGTATTTGCTAAAACAAGCAGATTGTTTCCTTACGTATAATACATTAAAATATTTCTGTAATGAAGTTAAAATTCTCCAAAAACGGAACTCAATGCTTCACTAATTCACTAAAGAGACTAGTAATGGCAAAACTCTACCACATCGAGGCCCAATCGTACACTGTTTACGCCTGACTAGAAAAAAAAAATGATTGCCTTGGAGCAGAGTAGATGGATACAATGCTATCTAACTTTAACTTATATGCATTCACCACCTGGAGAAACATTTTCTGTCAAGGCTTAGTTCGGTAAATATAGTTTAGATGAATTACATGAGTCGCACCCACATTGATATCCAGAGCTCTTTATAACACCACAAAGCCTTGATTGGGACATAGAGCGCAAAGTGAAGATAGAACGATCGGAAAATAACGCCGGCGAAGTGCGACCACCTCTGAGACTTACCTGCTCTGCATGACTATTGGAGAAGCTAGGGGTAACAGAAGAGAAGTTCAAGTTATTTGGGCTTTCATAATAATGTCCATTATGAAGTTATCTTTATTAACAAAAAAAATAGATTAGCTAAACAAGCCTTGGCAGATGAAACTGCTTTTAATGTATTACCAAACAATGGTTGATTATCTTTAATGCAAGTTTGTGTTTCAAAAAAAAAAAAAAAAAAAAAAAAAAAAAAAAAAAAAAAAAAAAAAAAAAAAAAAAAAAACAATGAACAAAAGCTAATTTTTTATAGACAATAAGGTTTTGCTTTTACATTATAAACAAAGTCAACAAATCAAACTCCACAATAGTAAACCAAAAAAACTATACTCTTTCTTCCAAAATTTAGCTAATAGAGGGAACAAAGAAAACAAGTTAACCCAATATTAAAAATAACCTAACAATCTTGCTTTTGCCAATATGAAAGCTTCATTGTCCAACCCTCTAGGAATTCATGTGTCATCTCTTCTTTGCCAACATGAAAACATCCAAAAAGCAACTAATAAATCAGGAAGCAGACGATATAAGTCTAGGTTGTGTGTCTATACAACTTTGTACTCGTGTGAGCAACAAGATCTCTTCAGCCTGGACTTTCCCATGGCATGTATAAGGCAAACCCACGTTGGGACGATTGTTTTGATTATCCGGTTTAGTTTTCCGGTTTGACTGATTCGGAGTTGAATCAATATGAACCGAAAATAGAGATTGAACCGGTCTATGGTCAGAGAATCTCGACTCTCCCCTCGTGTACCATATTTGTTTCATCCCGTCACCTTTCCACAATATTCGATCACACCTGAAATCAGAAAGCTAATGTTAATATCACATATTTATCACTTTTCATGTATTTTATTGCAATGATAAAATCTTACCAAGCTGGTGTTCTGCGCTTTTCTTTTGATTTTTCGGTTTGGGCGACATAATTATCTGAGTTTCTATGATATTTATATGTTGGTGCGAAATAAATCTTTCCTTCTTCCCATCCCTGAAAAACTCTACCAGCTCGTTGTTCTATCTTCAGCTGCAAAAGAAAAAAAAAACTTTAGTTAAATTACTCTTAAACATGTAATTACATAATCAATAAAAAGGTCCAAAAAAAGTAGTAACCTGATCTTTCTCTAGAAGTGCCTCCCAATCATGATTCTTAAGGTGGTCATGTACGTCGCTGCTGGCCCTTAACCGATAATTCAAATCTCCAAGCCATATTACTTTACTGTAATACAAAGACGCAAATAGACTAATTAATAATGGAGCTTCATATTAAGAAATACAATAAATAATAACTGATTTCTAACTTTACTTACTCATGATCCATTATCGATTCGGGTTGATGAGAATCTTTAGAAGAACGCGAGAACCTTGTCCTCTTTAATATCTCGGTCACATCTAAATTTCTTCTTAACTCGTCGCCTTCTTTTTCTCCAGACGTAAGATGCGTGCAAACAAAGCATAGACTCGTCTCATGCAACGACATGCTAATCGATATCGAGCCCTATATACAAGGTTAAATCGCTAGAGGTTAGCCATGAAAGCATAAACAACATAACGATTTTACTTTCATACATGCATATATATATATAGACTGACCTTGTTTCCAAGATATCCCATGATGCCACGACCAACGCTTGACACCTTGAGGTTTGTAATACGTTTCTGGAGATCATCTCTTACCCACACACACAAAAATATCCCTACCATCTGTTTACTCGCTGCAAGGGAGTAACCTCGATCAAGGGTCGAATTGCATGCAACGGGGTCATCATCGGGGAAATTAGAGACGCTGCGACGGGAAGGTTGTGATGATTTTGTAAGTTCGAAGGAGGTTCTGTGATTTTTAGAAAGTTCGAGGTCATTTTGTGATAAGTCGTTGTTGTTCAAGGCTTCTCGAATCAGAGACAGCCACTTGGTCGCGGGGCCGTTGTTCTCTGCTCCAAGAACGTTACCGGCATTTAGCGGCACGATTTCTTGAAACCTAAAGAAAACAAATCAATGATGATGTAATTATATAGTACAAACAATATATTAAAAACAGAAGATTAACTAGTAGTATGATTATATGCATACCCTAGCACGTAAATATCAGCATCGGTGGAAGATTTAAGCCAATCTTTCAACTCTAATCCATCATGTGGCGACTTCCCTCCCACGTTCCATGTCCCGACGAACATTCTAATCATTAACAGTAAAAAATATAACAAAAGTTAATAATCATAGCTAATTATAAAACATAAATTTAATATAGATAGACTAATCATGAATATAGTGTATTTACTTGAGGTCAAGTTTGTCACCAGCACGTGTCACATGTTGTTCTATCAACCCTGATTGTTGTTTTAAATCCTCATTTTCTTGGCCCAAACATCCTATTTCAACCATAACACATAAACAAAATCAATTAGTTACGTTATATATTTAGTCTTAAACAAATTACAATCAAACAGAGATAGGTATGTATAAAACAGAAACTGGTGGACTGAGATTAGCAAGTACACCTAAACCTGAAGACTTTTTAAATTGCAACCTTAACCTAATCTTTCACCTTACACGTGGAGAAGGATGTTTTAACTAATCTCATTTAATTTTTTTTAATCTCATTTAACTACTTTATAATATGATTTTCATGGGAAAATTTCGGTTCTCTTTTCAACGTTTATTTGCCGTCGTGATTAACATAGATGTCTAATCCTACAGACAGCAATAGACCCTTTGTACGGAAAGACTGTCCCAGGTCAAGTACGGTTTACGTACCCTAAATACGACGCTGTTTTCGATGCACCAAAACTATATAGTAAAAAAAAAAAAAATCATAAGCCGGTTATTATTATTAACATTAATATTTACCTGGAAACTTTTCCGGCACGATTTTGTAGTAATCACCGTCGGAGCAACTCTTTCTCCTCGGCTGAGTTGGCTCCATCTTCCCTAGAAACGAAAAAAATTGGAAACATGAACATCCGTTAAGTCAACGAGTAATTAAGAAACACCACGAAGTCAAGAAATAAATATTTAAAAACGGCACGGAGTTCAAAAGGAAATATCGAAAACGACACGAGCCAGATCTCTCACCTTTGACTGGGTAATCGGAGTGAAACTCGTAAGCGTTGCTTCGTAAGTTTAGCCACTTCCTAACGACGGTTCCCGGCCAAGAAGACTGTAAAACGCAGACGTTTTAGCAAAACAGATAAGAATAAAAGAGTAATAAAGGAGACGAAAACGACGGGTAGTTTAAGAGCATACCTTAGGTTTCAAGATTTTTCCCATGGTTCTGTATTTTTCTCGCCACCGTTTTTGTATAAAGTCAAGAACCACAATCTGAAGATGATATAGGATGAGGATCTGGTGATTAAAAGGTAAGCAAGGTATTAGTACGCGTAATATAAATCTAAAAAATAATAACGAAAACAATAACAATAATATTTATTGAACAATTTGGGTCCAATCAAAGATCAAGAAAGACAGAAACTATAACATAAAATAAGAAAACGCATACCAAATTTGAACTCAAAAATAATACTAGTTGCCCTGAAATTCAACGGATATAGAAAAAAACTAGTTGCAGGAGAATCCGAGACAGATAGTTTATTATTACTAGAAAAAAGAATCAACTATGGAGTCTTAATTAAGGATAATTATATAAAAGCATGTTGTAATAACACATGTCATGAAGTGGAAGAAGCAATGTTATTTCTTTTCCATGGGAAAAGCTTTTGGTTTATAAGCTTCTTCGTTAGAAAAAGAGAAATAACAGAGTGTATGATACCTATGTATAGTTTGAAGAACCCATATTTGCAATAATGAGAGGGATTTTAATAATTCTGAATGAACACAATGGAAAATATTTGTTAAAAGGCTAAATATTTATGTGGTATGGTGATGAAGGAGAAAATAAGGAAACAGAGCTTTCATGAAGAGGAAAAAACAAAGTAAAGAAGACGAAAGCTCGCTGAAAATACAAGCGACGACATTGGTGAGTTCAGACAATAAACAGTTTTGTCTTCGTCAACGAACAAGATCCCAAACGACATGAGCTACTAGCAGCAGTAATAATTGTAAGATTGAAGAAAAAAGCTAAATACTTACATGATAATTAATAAGCTATATGGACAAGGCCAGTTTCAACTTGGGTGTGTTTATATCTTTGTTCAGAGCTTTGAGGGAGCTAAAAATTTGTGAATGATGAAAGAGAGGACCTTCTGCACTTACGGCAATGTTCTATAACGAATGCTAATGCCCGGCCTGTAAATGGAATTTATAAAAGTTGTGTTATGTGTGAGGTGGACTGATTGGACCAATATAGTCAAATATTTAATGTGTGATATTTTAATATTTAATGGAAAATTGGAAAGAAAGTTATGGTAATCGTGTTAATTAGTAGGTTTTAATTCAAAAAAAAAAAATTAGTAGGTTCGTAGAAAAGGAACTTATGCATTTTCATTTTTATTTCTAATTCTCTCGAGTGATTTAGAAATCTAGGAAGATTTCACTGTTTTTCTTAGTTCAAATATGGATTGTATATAGTTAAGGTTTAGAAAGAAAATATTATAATTGGGGCTCTATATAATTGCGGAATGGAAAGAAAAAAAAAATATGATTGTGCCTCTATATAAAATGAAAAAAACAAGGGAATACATCCAACCAAGAGTTTGAGGTTATTTGTATTAAAAGAACAAATTTACTATTTTCAAATATTAATTTTAAAAAATTATTTAAAATCCATGTGTTGTTGAACTTCTCATTTTTTCTGAAATTTGCTGTTACTGAAACTATTTTAAATAATAAAATTTAGAAAAAAGTCGTGCTTTTAAAATCTTTAAATGGTGTTTTCTAATTAAAGATAATCTAAATATCATATTTAGATGAAATTCTATAATGGTTTAATAAAAGTCCAATATTATCTTTTCTCTCAAAATAGTAATTTTCTTATAGAAATTCACATTTGTTTTTGAAGAATATTATAAATGTGTCTTAGAGATGATTTAAATTCTATTATACTATATTATTATTTATTATGAATATAATAAAAATAAGCAAAATTGGTAAAATAAGACACATTCAACTTTTAATCGTTTTTGACATTTTGACTAACATGTCTTACTTTCTAAAAATGGAAAAATGGTTTTATAAATAGTTAAAGCTATACAACTATGAAAACTATTAAAACATAAATGAGAATCTTTGTATGATATTTTTAAAATAATATTGAAATCAGATTTAAAATAGTTTTCTACATTGACTTAGAAATTAGAATACTCACTCTAATTGTCAAACTATTTTAGAAAACAAATCAATGTTTCTCTATAGACAATCAGTATTTATTTTAAAAAAATAAAATAACTTATCTTACGAGAAAAAACATGAAGTCAACTAGTTGATCATCATATTATCCCCATAAAAAATAGAGACAATAAATTAAAATAGAGAATCAAAATTATTTTTTTCAGAAATCTTTTTATTTAGAAAATTGAATTGTTTTAGTTTGTGAAAATATATCTTACTCCCATTTTTGAGTTTTTTCCTCAAAAACAAGAAAAAAGCTTTTTTCTGACGTGGTGGAAATTAGTTCAAATTAAACAGGAATTGGCAGTGTTGACCTACACCGTACAAATGTCTTGGTCAAATCAGTTAAGTTCTTCTGAAAACGTGTACCATTCTGCTTTCAGCTTAACACATGCCGTTGCACACACAAAAAAAAACCTTCGAAGTACTTACCATTTTCCCATTAAAATAAATATAGAACCACTTTTGCTATAAAACTCTTTTTTTTTTTTTGGTAAAATGCTATACAACTTTTCTTTTACCTTACCAGTCATACACTTTTCACTTATTTACTGACATAAAGGACTAAATGTTAAAGGTACTGTAAAGTATTCATTTGTGACTTTAATGTGTATATATAAATGAAATAATTAAGATATCAGAGGGATTGTTTCAGTGTTATAACCAAAAAAAAAAAAAAGGCACACAGATATCATACTTCAAACATGTAAGAGCAGCAATCTTAAGTAATTATATGTCTAAGCCAATTGTTTATCTCTATACCCCTCCCAAGTCGTAACATACATTGCTATTCGACTGTCTTTCATGAATATTAAAGTTAATATGTATACTTGTGCACTATTAAGAACAAAAGAATCATATAAAGAAAAGAAATTGCTCGAACGTTTAAAACATTTGATTGTTAGTTATTTTATTAGAGCCACCATATTTATGTGTGTATGTGGTGATAAAAATAAACCTCAGAAATTTAAAACTTTTTTATGGCCCTTTTGACTAACCCACAAAAAACCTACGAATCGTCATTGTGCTTCCTACTCGGACATGTGTTCCAACTCCTTGATTATAAAAGTCTCGAGTACAAATCAGAATCCCACAAACCATCATTTAAATATAATAATGATTAACTAATCACATAATCTCAGACGACACGTCCTAATTTATCTACGGTCCGAATATTAACTCAACATTTAAAGATCAGGTAGGTTAAATTCTCGCATCTATCGATCTCATGTCCCTTTCACCATTGATATGATCTTATCGATTCATTAAAAGGAAAGATGAAGATTCATGTCTCCATTGTATTAACAATTATTAACCTCTCCTCTAATGCTAATTAACTTATTAATCTATGTTGTACTTTAGGAGCTTTAGATGTTTGACTTATCGTAGAAACTTCCAATATGTATATTTTTTACCACTAATAAATTTCTCCTTTTGGTTAAATAACTATTAAGAGATTTTAACCTTTTGCAACTCTGGCTTATTTCTACGGGTCTACGTAACTTGTTGAAAAAATGCGGGCGACCTAACATGCACGTCGGATTTTAGACTCACAAACGACACGTACGGTTTAATCATCTTAAACCCTCTCGATGTTCTATACGTCACATTATCCAAATTTCGATTCTTAGAATATATAACTGTTTCTACTTAGAGACATACATATCTTTTTCAACGAGACGAGGGCTCAATAATGCAATGCCTCCATGTGTATGTGTAAGATTAAAAGAAGGAATTTAGATATGACAATGAGACCCGTTACCTTAAAAAGTGTATTAGTTTACTTTTCACTCTACATTTTCGAGGTAAAGATTAAGACATATATATGTATATATTGATTAAAAGTTTTCTTTATTAAAACAAAAATGTATGTATGTATGCTAGATGTTGGCTAAAAAGTGGGTTGCTGAGTTTAAAGTACATGACATCACAAGTTGTTTCAGCTAAGATGTGATTTTTCAAACCTTTTTCAGTAAATGTACGTAAGGCTAAGGGATTATCGTGAACTTTTTTTTTTGGTAAAAATTATCGTGAACTTAATGTACGTAAGGGATTATCGTGAACTTACTAACGATGTTTCATTTTAGATTACATAGATAATCTTTTAGCCTAACATTTACTAATTTTTTTTCACAAAGCAAAACATTTACTAATTTTAAAAATATAAATAATATATTTGAAAATATAATTTGTAAATCAGTAATCAGTATTTAATCTGGAGCTACTAATTATACTGATTAAGCATGATGCTTTAAGGATATAAATGTTAGGTTCGTGTCTTAGCTGTTGTGGGAGGGAAACTAATAACCAGTTTTTGTCCTTTTTTTTGTAACTTAAGATACCATTTCTGAATTTAAATTAAAAGGTCTTTTACATCTGAAAATAACACATTTAAATTTGGGCGAAATGTAAACTCTGGTGAAGCAAAAGAGGATGTTGATCAGACGATGCTTGAAATGGATTTAGGCTTGTACTCTATCAAACCAAACTGACAGATATGTGGAAGTTCCTGTAGGTTGATGAATCAGTTGTTTTTTTTTTTGGTAAAATGTTAAATTTTATTACCAGATTTCAAGTTTTTGACAGAAATTACAATAGATGACTAGTAGCAGACAAATAAAACAACAACATCACACAAGAACACTACGAACAACAACAAAGAACAGACCAAACAACAACGCAGCGCAAGCAGTCTAACAGAGCAATAGCGAGACGAGGACGGACCTTACAACCCCAGAACTAGATGAGAACACCGACCAGTTGCCGCGAGCTACTGAGAGAAGGGCGCCCTCAAACCCTGAATACTACAGTTCCTACAGCTTCCAGCCGACAATCCAGAGCGAACTAAAGCGAAGAATCCAACCACGGACACTGAGCAAGCTTGATAAAAGAAACCACCAGCGGTACGAGGAACAGTCGAAGACCGACGATGCCGTCGTTCAGTAGTTTGCGCCAGAGATTACCGCCTCCATTGCATTCCACCGGGACCGTATACACCCCTTTAACCACAAACCCGAAGAGAATATGGATCGGTAAACGCACAACTCCTCCAGAGGAGACAAAACCGACACCACGCNAAGCTTGATAAAAGAAACCACCAGCGGTACGAGGAACAGTCGAAGACCGACGATGCCGTCGTTCAGTAGTTTGCGCCAGAGATTACCGCCTCCATTGCATTCCACCGGGACCGTATACACCCCTTTAACCACAAACCCGAAGAGAATATGGATCGGTAAACGCACAACTCCTCCAGAGGAGACAAAACCGACACCACGCTCATGAGCCGCTGCTTAACTATTACTCCAAGTAACAAGACGAGCCGGAAGCCACTGCCTAGCCACGAAACAAAGCTGCTGAGATTATTTGAGAAGGAGATGTCTACGGAGCAGGCCACACCGACGAAGCCACAAGATCTGAGCGGTGAAGGGAACACACGGGAATCCACACACTACGCGAGCCACAAGGGAGGTTGGAGAACAGACGGACGTCTCCATTACAGTCACCAACAAACCCCCGCGCAGCCACCGTCGGAGAACACACGACGGAGGCGCTCAAACCCTGCAGAGAAAACTCAAGAAAAGCAAGATAAGGCCTCAAACTCACACTCTGAAACCAAGAACTAGCGAACCCGAGAACCCCAGCTCCACACGCAGCCACAACCACCACCAGACACCACGCCGGAGGTGAAACGAGACCAACGAGGAGCTCTACGACGCTGCACGCGCCTCCATCTCAACGAAGCTTTCTGGGTCTCGACAAAAACGCTGGAAGCTCCGATTTCCAGACTTGGGTTGCACACGACGGAAGAAGAAGCCGTCCTCTAGCGACCTCCGCCGTCGAAAACCCTAGATCTATGGCCGGATAAACCAGATCTGAGACACCAACAAGCTGCGCTCTCGCCGCAGAACACGGAGATAA